ATCTGGGTTTCATGGGAGGGGGATGGTGGAGGGAGGGGGATGGTGGAGGTAGGGGGACATCACGCCAATCGCCCCAGATTTGGATCCACCACTTGGTCCCGTAACGTATTTCCCTGCTACAGCTTGTACGAAGTGGATATTTTAAATCGCATTACGCAAACGTTGTCCAATCCGCTATCCTGCCCGAGATGGGGAAAAGAAAAAAAGATGGCTGCAGTCAAGTGGACAGCTTTGGAAATTAAATGCATTCATCTATAACGTCAAGTGGAAATCTGATTGTGACATTTGCCGGGATAAGAGCCCTGCTGCTGCTGCTGCTGCTGCACAGTGGAAAACTCCAAGTGCCACCCCAGATGCAATCATTGAGGCAGCAGCAGGGGCAGTCCATTGGGTGAAGAGCAAAGCATTTGCTGGATTAAACATTTTAGGCGAAGGTGGCCGACCTGCAATCGCTTGCTCACCGCCACTGCTTGGAGTGGAAACTTTACCCCACCGCACATTACCTGCTGACCAACTGTGGTCTACCCATGTGTACTGCTGGGTGCAGAGCGGTTGGGAGATTTAAGACGAAACATTAAAAAAGACTATGTATTCCTCATGGAACCTCCTTTGCCAGTACCAAAATATGATCATAGGTTTTTTCCCCTTTTTTCTTGCAACAAAACAGGTGTTAAGATGTTAAAACACCAAACTGAATCATTTTACAAGGAATCATGTCTGCATTAACCACAATGCTTGTGGTCAGAATGAAAACAAAAAACACTGATAATATGTGCATTGTCCTTGAAACTGATTGGTCCACACCAGAGACAGTTTTCTTGATTCCTTGTAAAAAATATTTCAGTTTGGTGTTTTAACATCTCAACACCTGTTCTGTTGCCAGAAAAAAAGGGGAAAAACCTATTATCACTATGTATTCCTCTCCTTGAAGCAGTTTAATGTTTGGCCAATCCCTCAATAGGTATGTGTGTGTCAGGAGGATGCCGGATAACGTGGAGGAAATAAATGCGGATTGGACAAGAGCGCTTAAATATAGCACAGATAGATCAGTGGCCTGCTTGGTATACTCCAACCTGACATCACAGTAGGTTGCGAGTATCCCAGCCCATGCACCAGAGTCATTCATTAAGGCTGTAATATTTTTTTGTTTTCATGAAACTTAAAACAGAAGCAAAAATGACCCATGTATCCCCAAATCACACGCTATAAATGTCCAAACCCCAGATATCAAACGCGAAGTGCTGGGCAAGATCCAGCTGCTGTCGAGTGAAATCACATCAGAATGGATCTGGATCTGAGTGGAACAGCTTCTGGGATTTGGAGTGTACCATTTTACTGTGGAGGCCGGGGGGGAGAAGGGGCACCTGGGGTGTTCACGCCGAAATGGGTCATACCATCATGCGGTTACTGACGGGTACACATGATGCGATTGCACTTTTGCAAATGTATTCACACGTGATATGGGCACTAATGCATTGCGGGTTAGTGAAGGTTCCCCAGTACAGAGTACTGCCTGGTAGTGGTGGTGATGTAACAAGGATATTATGAAGTGAATTATGCCACTTCATACCTGTTTAAAGTGTATATGATGATTCCAGTCTATGATTTACATACCATGGATTTAAGCAGTATGTTAATGTGCTACAAAACATTATTGACTAAGGTTAATTCGTAAGGAATGATAGAATAGCGTACGCAACATCATACCTGTCTATGTTGTTAATAATAACTAATTCTCTACCACTGTATCGATATTTCTCTTTTTCATTCATGAATCATGGGCATAACTAACATGTCCAAGTCCTCGAAGGCACTATGGGCCCAACTCACATTTTCAAACGTCGCTTTTCATTCCATTTTTGCCAAACACGCATCGACATCTCTATTATGAACAATGGGCCAAAATCATCATCTGTATTTATACTGGAGAAATCCGATGAGCTATAAAGCCCTTTTTCACAGATGCACGGTAAGGGAACGGGGTCGGAACGTTACAACAACAATCGCCAACGTTACGTGTTACGACTGTTTTGAGAAACCACAATTCTCTCCCACTGTGCACATCTACTGATGACAATAAGCACAGCAAACAAAATAGACAACCAAGACAAACACTGACTTGACACGGGACATTGCAAATTCACATCCCTGCGCTAAACAAAAGCTCTGACAGCAAAGCTCCGGGTGACAGGTGACACGAGCTAAATCTGACATCCACTACAAAGACAAAGATCCACCATGTAGCCTGAATAGACTATTTTGGCAAGTGCTGTTATAGGGAGCACTATGAAGGCTGCCACTGCATACAAGGGGGGGGGGGGGAGTGGGGGTGAGTTTTCTCCCCAACGCTGTTGTTTTTACATAGTGCACGTTACTCATTGAAGGCTGAGTTAACCTAAACGAGGCCCAGGGCCGGGTTGGGTGCCACGGTGGTAAGATGTTAACTACCTCGCCTGGTACACAGGAGGTCGTGGGTTCGATCCCGACCCTGAAGCCTGTGTCTCTCTCTCCGTGGTCACGTGGGTTCTTCTCCGGGTCTCTAATTTACACGTGATAAGGCACTTTATTGAGCTTGAATTTGTGGCCAGGTCGCTTCTGAGAAAGACCGATGTAGCTCAGTGGGCCTTACCTGGTAAAATAAAAATAAACTGAGTTGCAGTTTTTTTTTAGTTTAAATAGTTTTGGGTATCCACCATTGATGGAAAGCTTCGGTCAGGACTCGAACTGGAGCGATCGGGGTTTGCAGCGTAGTAAGCTAACCACCACGCCACCGACATTCACGAGAATCACTGTGTAAAGCCCCAACCACATTGTCACATTGGCAGTAAATTGGCTGCTCATTTTTTTTTCTTTCCACCACTGGTAAATGCCGTGCCGCTTTTCAAGGGACGCACAGCGGGAGCACTTTGCTGATTTGAGAGTTCGTGTGGAGCTTTTGATTCGGTTTGACGCCTCCATCCTCCTCCTCCTGCCCCTCCCTTATCATCCCTCTGTCATTGTGAAGCTGCTTGAAGCCAACTCACCTTGCACGCAAAGCACCCTTATTCTAACATCTATTGAAATAATGATCGGAACGCTGCACAGCTTTGTGGTCACAGCAATGGTCTGGTTAACAAAGCATCAAAAATACAGTACAATGTTCCTTTTGAAATGTAACACACAACCCACGCACGCAAATTACTTTGTCGACGGTTAACAAGGCAAGACAGAGAAATATGCGTGTGTGTGTGCCAAGTGATAAGTAAGATTAAATATGATCGCATGGTATAATTGTTTTGATTATTGTTACATAATATGCTCATTATGCACACGCACAATTATGCAACAATGCATTACATCACAAATTAAAAGACGATATTTCCCTGCTCAAAATACAAATGGGGTGGTGCTCATCACAAATGGCAGCCCCCCAGTAAACGGTGACAATTGCACACTCTCGTGGCAAAGACTAGTCCACAGGAATGATGCGCTGTATTAAATGAACGTTCAAAAGTCATGTTTAAAAACTTAACAGTACAATTACAATATATAAATGCTTATTTTATCCGTGCGTTTAATATATCCCTGCAACTGCACGAAACTGCTAGCAGAAAGGTCTCCACTAGAGGGAGTTCTAGAGAGCTCCCCTTCGAGCAGAGGGTATTTGGCCTACTCTTCCACGCCTACCAGACGTCTGCAAAGAGATGGAAGCACCCACATAATACTCCACCACATGTGACCTGCTGACCGAATCAAGTGATTTTAATACTAATCTGGGTCACGTGTTTGCTTTGCACTCTACATCATTTAAACTGCGGAGGATTATGCAGTTCATTTTACGAACAGCAACAAAATCCTGACAAGAAAAGGTTCCGTATGGGAAAATTAATCATAACCACACCTTTCCGCACAGATGCTGTTTTTCCCCAAATGTATTTTATGCAGAAAAATAGATACCGGGCATGTCCCACTGGGCGAAGACCCCAGGGTCTGCCCAGGACACGCTGGCGGAGCTATGTCGCTCAGCTGTCCTGGGAACGCCTGGGAATTCCCCAGGAAGAGCTCGAGTCTGTCGTCAGGGAAAGGGAGGTCCGGACCGCCCAACTCAACATGCTGCCGCCGCGACCCTCACCACGGCAAACGGATTAAGAAGCGAAGGAACAAACGAATATTCAGGTACACCACAGAGGATATAGAAGGGGGTTTACACGAGCACAAACACATTACGGATGACAGCGTGATGGAAACCTGTCTAAAGCGAACGTTTCAATAAACCATTTTCATAAAATGTACAACCCCCTGGTGTCTTCCCAAGCTCTGATAACCATGTAAAAGAAGGTTAACAAGGGAGGAGGGGGTCCAAAGTTAAACTCGCATTGCTGATCACCCCCCCCCATCGCCTTGAGACAACAGACTACTTTGACGTGCGACCGGGATTTGAACTTGCAAACTTGTTGACTGTCCTAACCCCCATCGGCCCCCTGGCCAGATGTAGCATCACGACGCGTGTGCATTGTACACGGCCCTATTGCCTAACCACAGCTGGACGAGGGCCCCCCTCACATCGTGCGGGTCGTTGGGGTTGTCCACACTTCACCACGCGCTGGTCTATGGGCGTTGGCGAAGGCGGGAAGAACCGGAGCCACATGACACAGTACAACGGTCTTTACTGCACTACCCTCCGATGCGCACACCACCGCATAACCCCATGCACGCCTACAAACAAAACTGGCGTGCATGTAGGTCGCCCATCCCAGCACTATCCAGGCTCGAATCCCTGACGTTAGCCTCTGACGGCATCAGGTGCAACTCCGGGTGATGTGGTCACATGCGATCACAGTTCGCTCCGCGGTACGCACGAAGTGTACGTCGAATTTCTTTTACACGGTACGTAGTCCAACCGTGCTCATCGGGAGGTGCGGGGGAAAGACAACAACAAACTCAACACAAAAAAGCAGTTTAAAAACAACCCCAAAATAGGTGCCGATCGTACCGTCGTGCCAGCCGTCGGGACACCTCACCTTCTGTAAGCTCACCCAAGTCCAGCTCCCCAAGCTCCTCTCCTTCACCCTGGCTCAGCCCCGCAGAGCCGGCTCCGTCCCCTGGCAGCTGCTCGTCCTCCTCCTCATCGTCATCCTCCTCATCGTCCTCCTTGAGGTGGGACAGAGGAGAGGTGGGCGATCCCCGCTGCGGCTGGGCTGGGGCGGGAGCGCCAGGCCCGGCGTCCGGCCCAGCTGCGGTGTCCAGCTGCTTGGGCGTGCAGTCCGTCGCGTCTGCCTGCGACCCGGCGCGCACGTGCGCCTGTCCGTTCGTTCGCACGCCAGCGCCCATCGTCACAGGCGGGAAACACACGGTGGCCGTTCAGAATCAGTGTCTTTAGTCACACTGGTGCAATCCGATGAGCTGCTGGAGATCTGTGAAAAAGAGCTTTATTTGCTCATTGGATTCCTCCAGTAGAAATAAAGATTCTGATTCTGATACCTAGATATTTTTTAACAGATATCCATGAAAAAAAAGCCCACTAAGGTCCCTCCCCAACCCCACCCTCTCGAGCCTACTCGGGCCCTTAGGGCAAGTGCTGTTTGCGAGCACTTATTAATGCAAGGTGAAATGTTACATCTTGGTTTGCCTTCGACGTCATCCAGCAGTGGATTGATCATGTCTCCCCATTGCTGATGTTAACGCACTGTCCCAGGGGCTCCGTTAAGGTTGAGCAGACCCAAGGGAGGGCGAGGAATGGATGACAAGGCTGGAAATGGAGCAATTTCTCCGGGATTATGGCACAGTGCATTGACCACTTTTCCACCACCGCATATGCAGAAAAAAATGGACAAAACGCAAACTTTCTATTTCGGGTTCGTAGGATGCGGCGGATCGTTCAAGTGCCGTTTAAAAGTGCCTCAAAGAGCCAACGAGCAATGCTAATTTCTGTTTATGGTTTTAAACCAGGAAAGGGAGTTTTCACATTCCTATGTTTGAGCCAATCTGTCCATGGCGGATAACCACTGCGGAAGTGCTCTTAGTTAGTGAGCACCTATTAAGTCCGTGATGACACAAAAGCTGGTGGGGGCATGCAACACAAAGATAAATATCCCACGTATAGCCTTAACAAACTGTTGGGGCAAGTGCTGTTAGCGAGTACATGAGGGCTGGCACGGCACACGAGGGGGTAGGTGGCTAACACCACGCAGGGCCATTTTTATCTCCCCAATTATTAATGTTTACACATCGCGTTAGGTACTCATTTGTGGCCGAGTCGACCTAGGGAGGCCCAGGACTGATTCTGATAATCGTCACTGTTGTTGGCCATAAGCAGCAATCGAACTCGGGACGCTTGGTTCGCAGCGCAGCACGCCAACTGTTGCACTACCCCACACACCACACACACTCGGCCACCCGCTTGGCCTCCACAGTACGGATGCTGACCATACCGTCAGCACCTGTGTCTGCTTGGAGGAGGAATGCACATTGCTCGCTTACGAGATGTGGATTAGAAGCATTGACAATGACAAAGGAAATTAAACAAACGCTGAATAGTTAAGAAATAAGCGCAGGGAGGGGACATGCTGGGAATTACACTGAGAGCCACACAGAGGAAGACATCGTACTGACGGTTACACAAAGCGGGCTTGGGCAGGACACGTCGCTAGAAGATAGGATGGTTGACGGTCAACCCTGACGGCACAGCGGCAGCCAAAGGGGTGAACAGCCCTGACAGGAAAACCAACCGCGACAGACGACAGAGGGAGCGATGAGGTCAGCTCACGCGCGAGATGAGCGATGGCGTGAGGAGACCTTCATCCAGCAAGTGGACAGACGACGGCAGATGACGATGACAATTACGATGGGAGGCGGGAGTTGGTGGATCAAGCAGAAAAACGAGGGCTTCACTGCCGCCACTCAGTCACCTGTGCACGATGCACCTCGGCCTCCACCTGCTCTTCTTGGGGAAACTGCGGAGCCATCAGGAGGGTGTGCACGCTGTGCGGCTGCCGACACGGAGACAGAAATATGAGAGGGCAGAGCTTCGGAGTTGGCTGGGTGGCTCTAGGTCAGAGCGCTGGGCTGCAACCGCTGAGATCCCGGAAATCGAATCCAGGCAGGGACGACCACGGACCAAGACCGTCAGCATGTGTGTATGTACGCTGAACTTCTTTCGCACCGTACATAGCCAACCGTGCTAATCGGAGGTGCGGGGGGGGGACAACAAATTAAACAGCGGTGGTGAGCTTCACCATCATGCCAGTTGTTGAAGCAGGAAGCTGCCTCTGATTAAACACAGAGGCAGCTGCCTGATTCGACCCCTGAGACGTCCTGTAACTACCGCCCACTGCTGATAGTCTGTGGTCGTCCTTGTAGAAGGGCTCCTTAGCTAATTGGGATTCTCAGGTGTAGCGAGTTCATGGTCTAAAGCCTGGTCATCAAGGACCGCACAAACCATCACATGAAATATGGTTCCACACTTAATTTGGCTAAATATCAGTTCTAAGAATGCAGAATATTGGTTTGACTGTAATGCGACGGACATTACTCTCAATGGGAGGGCGAGAAGGAAAATGCTGCCCCCAATTCTATGCGAACAAGAGGTCACTTTGAAGGGATCCCGAGAGGGAGCTCGGAGGTATTCACTCCCGCGGGTCATTCTCAAAACACAAAAGAGTGCACCGTTCTCCGAGAGTTCTGATTGGATACTTTGCTTCATAACATGACGACGGCACAATTCGGATAAAATTGTGGAAAATAGACCAAACAAATATTTAAATTAACAGATGTGTATTGTATGTTGAACTTCTTTCAGACCTATGTAGCCAACCGTGCTAATCGGAGGTAGCACACGATTGTCCAACTCTCAAAGCAAACAGATGTTACGTTTTGATTTAAAGCTTTCGTGACTGCAGTAATTCATATTCTTAGCTCTTTCGGTAAAGTCACGTTGAAGGGAAACAATAAAATAATAAATATATAAAACATAAAAAATTCTCACGTTTCACACCTGATGACGACCGTTTGTGTTATGGTCGAAACGTCGTGAGAATTTTTATTGTTTTATATATATTTTATTATTGTATTGTTTCCCTTCAACGTGACTTTACCGAAAGAGCTAAGAATAAGATGTTATGTTGTGAACATACGTCGCGGGTTAAGTGGCCAATACTATCTGGCATGAATGCTAAGGTTCGGTCGCGTGAAAATAAGAGCCCTTTAATAAAGGTTGACTTTTAGGTACTCCGTGATAGTGCTCTCATGACGTCACTGCAGCCGCGTACCTAGCGAGCTGCTATGGCTCGCCTCAAACCCAAGTGAAAGCCTTTCTTTCTCACAAACGAATCTTCAAACGTAAGACGTAGTCAAGGCAGCCTGGGGAGACAGGGCCGTGGTGTGTATCTGGACAATTCCCAAAACACGAGGCAACCTCAGTCAAAAATTACACAATCGTCCAAACAATACATATGGGGTGCCATTCTGCAGAAGAGCACAGAATATATTATTGTATAAAGCATGGCTTATCAATGGAATGAGTCAAATCATTTGACACGCATGAAGCTCAAACGCACCGTCACATCTCAGCACGGATGTAAACGGCAGCTTGCGGTCGGGATTATAGGAACATATTTCCGTAATCGCGTAAAGTGGACCGATCGGAATTGCAGTGCTATTTGATTGATGTGCTATGCCCAGGTAATAGAAGAAGAAAAAGCCGCTGCACGATTACACCAATCATTACCCAACATCTTTATAGCGGCTCACTGACATGTGCGCACAGACACGCGGAAACCGCTCTTGTAGAAGGCTTCAGATGTGTACTTTTTGGGTAGGCCTCTTCCTTGAACACCCAATGCACTGCCAGAAATGCCCCTTTGCAGCCATACTTGACATACGATGAGAAGGGGAAATTTTGCAATGTCGATGAACACGAATTTCAATACCCGACGGTGAAATGACAATTGTTTAACTTAAGCCGTGAACGGGCAATATGCAAAGCCCTGGCTCAAATGGTGCAAGGGGTGGTTGCACACCTCTGTTTATAGCCCTGAGCCAGTGGTGGATATTCCACAATCCTATGGCAGTGGGCAGTTACTCCACAGGACAACCACCTTTGACATTCCACAAAGTGGTAATAATTGTATTGGCCTCAGAGATGAAAAGCCGAGTCGACCCATAAATAGAATTTGAACTTAAGCCCTTTCAAATTACAGGTCAAACACTGGCCTGCCAGTTTGTGAATAGAACCAAATTAGGATTTATAAAGAGTCTGAATCTACCCACATCTCAATATTCTGCAAAGAAAGAGTGAGCATGTTTATTTTAATTAAAGAAGCAGCCGGTCATGGGTGGTGGAAAAAAGGGAGGTGCTGAGTCTGGACTTGAACAGGGGGGCAGGGAGCCGACAGCACAGATGGCTTGGTCAATACAGAAGAGAGGAGCAGCAGAGAGAATGAGCGACCTCCCACTCAGAGGTTTGACTGGGGGGGGGGGGGGCTTTGAAGAAAGCCGTGATTGCTGAAGCGGAGGGGGAGTAGAGTGAGCATAAGTGGTTCAAAAGTGAGACTAACTTTTGGTGAGACACCGAATGTGAAATCCGGTCCATCATTTTGCTCGTATTGAACCAATTGCTACTGAAATGATGCACTCCCAAGAAAGCAGCATGGCTGATGGTTAATATAAAAGAGTGCTTTTATTTTTTTACACAGGAGGGGCAGATAAGCGCCGGTAGACGCATTATCCGCTTATTTATTCCCAGGCAGAGGAACAAGATACCGGCGTACGAATGGTTTTCTATCATAAGCAATGCAACTCTACAGCGGAAGGTGTTTTGGCAATTCCACACAATACAATCGGGTGGCCGTGCATTTCGAGGCAACAGACCAATTCAGAAGGAGCCAGAGGCCACTGGGCTGCTCAACCACCTTGGCAGCAAAGGCTCAGAGCGCCAGGCGGCTTCGTAATCACGATCGTCAAATGAACGCCAGTCGTGGCTACTGACGTACTACAATCACGGAGGGAAAAATGCAAGTTCATTTAAATCAGCCATGCCTTAAATCACACAACAAATTGATCCCGTGCTGCCCGTAGATATATACTCTCAAAGGTATTTTACAAATGAATGTCAAACAGCAGGTTAAGGTTTGTGAATTCACAAAGACTGCTCAGCATACACAAGGACCAACCCCACACCTTCCCCTTTGATGTGCTTTCTGGACATACTGCGAATTGTTTGATGATTTTCGATGTGGTGTGTTTTTTTTGTTTTTTTCCAGTATCACGGATTTCTGTTATTTGTGCTTGTGTACCACCAGCAATGTTTACAAGTACACAACAGGTGTTATAGGCTATCAGGTTCACTCCGTGGGCAGCACAGGGAGGCGAGTCCAGCAAAATCCATTATCATACTACGCTTCCATGCTCCTGGCCTTAACAAATGTAATCAAAATCCCCAAGCAGGTGCGGCGAATTGCTCTGCCTGGCAGCACAGCCGTGGTAAAGAACCCAACGTGACTCACTCACTCGTTCACTCACTCACCCGTGGGACGGCCACGAGGGACTGCACGGTCAGCACGAGCGGGTTGCCCGAGCGCTTCAGCAAGGCCGCCGCCTCCGCATGCGTGACGTTGAGGAGCCGCACTCCGTTCACCTGCGCCGGGGGGGCGGACGCAAACGACAATAAACGAATGCACGCACACGCCGGCAAAGAGGTCGGCGTGTGGACTCAGAAGTGGTTGGAGCAAGTGCTGTTGGCGAGCACCTATAAAGGGGCACGGTGCGTGACAGGGAATGGTTCGATTGATTGGGGAATAAACATGTCGGTTCGTCAGGATCGCACCACATGGTCGCCAACCATGCTAATCTGCAAATGCAGACTAGCACTCACTATTGAAATCCACACACAAAGACCCACGTTACACATTCACAGACACACACGAAAGTACTAAACAACCATACAGCATAATTGTCGGGCAAGTACTGTTAGTAAAATGCCTATTAAGTCTGGAACAGTGCACAAGGGGGTGATGGGGCCAACACCACAGCCTTTGTCTCCCCAGTGCTGATGTTTAAACTCTGCACTCGGTACTCATTTTAAGGCCGAGCCGACCTAGGGAAGGGCCAACCAAGTCCAGATATCAGTGGCCAATTAGTGTTGGCCATGGCTGGGAATTGAATGCAGGTCGATGGGGTTGTAGTGCGTTGATGAACGCACTGCGCTACAAACTACAGGCGTGTGGGAGCATGCAACACGTAAAAACACACAAAATTCGACAATGACAAAAGCCATCTCTGCCGACAATGAAAGAGCCACAGGGCGCACCACGGAGTGAGCCGCATTACGAGCAAGATAAGGCACGCTCCAATGTGTTCTACAGTAATTACTTTGGGGCGGTTGTAAATGCAATGCATTTTAATCTCCGTTGTAAAGCAAGCATGCCACTGGTTCACAACGTAAACATGTGCAATCGTGCTGCTGGAAGTTGCACATCAATTACGTGCAATATAAATGAGGGTGATGACGACGATTATGATACCATTGCATGAACCATCCTGTCTGCCTTTGACAAGAAAGCGTCTGGATTGCTGCCAATATTCCCCCATAATGCATCTGGAAGCATTCCTGGCAATGAGCGCCAGAGCAGCGCTGGCTGCTCTCATGACACAAACCTTGTGAATGCGGTGTTGGTGGATCACACCGAGATGAAACCATGATGCGCACGAGACACTTACCTGCAGGGCACGAGGCACCTACGTGTGGCAGTTCAGCCAGGAGGGTGTGTTCTGATGGGGCTATCTGCACAGTAGAGTTTGCGTCATCATCTCAACGGTGCAAGTTTTATCAGGCCATTCCGGTCTCTGCTCTCTCTCAGAATTGACTCAACTACAATCTGTTAAAAGATACTAAACAGGGATCCTAAGATCATGTTGGGCTCAGGAAGCCTTTCCTGGGCATACCAAGGTCACCAAGTTTCAAACCATGGGCGAAGTCGTCGCAACACCACACTGCTTTTATCGTTCGCCGGCAGCATTTCATTCACGTGGCTACTCCCGAAGCCGTCCACTTGTCAACTCGTCAACCTCGACGTGGACGTATTAACGACCGACTCCCCTGCCGTACGGACGTGGAAGATCACGGTAAACCGTGGAGCCGATTTTAATCGTCATCCTTGGTAGGTAAACATCACTGGGTGGATGCCAACAAAAAGGGGGGGGCAAATTAATGGTGAGAAGTCTGTCGACTTGGTCAAAAACTCGGGCCTAAGCTCATTTCATTTAAGCATCCTGACGGCACACGCGCCAGGGAAGGGAGCCCCCCGCGTTTTTGTTTAAAGACTGCGTCCCGCACGACAAAAACCCATTACACGCAAGAGGCTGGAGCCATCACACAGCCGGGCCCGGCGCTGTCATAATTCATTGCCGCGAGGTTGATGCACGAGCAACGAAGCGGCGAAAGTAAACGAGTTCGTACTCGCTCCACTTAAGGGTGGTCGCAGACCGGAATGTGCAACCGACAGAATAAGAGCTCGTGACGAAATAACCCATCGTTGTCAGCCGCCATAGTGTATGCTAATGTCATTTTATTGAGGCTGTGTGTGTTGTCTTGGTGTGGTCTGGGACTGGTTTGTTGTTCTTTTTGCTGCCTTGCCCAAGCGTGATAAAATCGGACATGCAGTGACTTGCTTACCTTTTTCTCGACTTTGCACTCCGATCGTTTTTTTTATTGTTCGCTGTCGTAACTTGCCGACTCGCTCATACTGGACGATCTGTGAAAAAGAGCTTCATAGCTCATCGGATTCCTCTTGCAGTATAAATAAAGGTTCTGATTGTAATATCCACTGCTGGATGAAGGTCCCCCTCCCCTCCCCCACACACACACACACCCTGGTCGCCATTCCCCACTGTCTCGTGCTGCAACGACCGATCTAACCAAGCGGGCAAAGTGGCTCACGTCTGCAATCCAGCATTGAGGGTGGCAGCGAAGGTTGGTGGATCACAGAAATGTTTGCGAGTCTCACCAAAACCCGCTGGGGGGCTGCGAGGTCGCCATCTCCTGGCTCGCCAGAGCAAGGCAGTACAGCAAGTGGATTCATTTCCATCTTTAGGGGGACTGAGTGAATCCGCACCCTCCCACTCACATGCCCGGGTTTTCTCCGGGTACTCCCGGTTTCCACCCATGGAGTGGGGCCGTAACGTCCCGATTTAGGGCCAGAGTGCTTGGGGCAAGTGTAGGTTAGCACCTGTTCTGGCTGCCTTCCAGCTTGCCTGTGGTTTCCGGCAGCCGCCGGAATCAAACAAACCGTGTGCACGCTCCAAGCTGGCGCCGTAGTTCCCGGACACACCAAGGCGATTTTATCGCTTTCATCTCCGCAAGAGGCCATCCCCGTCAGATGCGTTCCCTCCGTTGGCAGCCAACCCGTCGTCATACGGACCGTGGCCCATCATCCCCGCTCGCCACGACGTGTCCTGCACTCGCCCCTCTTTCTTTCCACGGGTCAACACGACGGCTCAAAATTTCTGTTTGCTCCGCAATCCGCATGGTCACCTTTTTCCCCATCGCTCAGTGCATTTCCAAATTATACTTCGCCGCCACGATTCTTTTAAAATAAATAAATGCACAGATAAAATGACACGTGCAAACATTTATCTCGAACACATCGCGTGCACCCGGAGCTCACCGAGACAAGATGATCTCGCTGTAATTGCCAAGGCCTCCTCCTCCCCCCCCTTTTGCCATGACAAGAAATTTAATAATTTAATAAAAATACATCTTCGATTACCAAACTACGTCAGGCTTTTCTTTATATATATTGGATTACATTATATTGAGAATTAATTTACCCGTCACAGACAGATGATGGGCTGTCTCAATCCTTAACCAGGATTTTAATTCACCGACCTTTCCAGCCACCTGAATAAAAGCTTCACCATACCTTAGTCATGAAGTTTGTACTTCACCACACTGGTCAATGCTGTTTGGTAACAGAACAGTGGAGATACTGCTCACCAATGATATCAGTCACAGCCAGGAATCGAACTGGGGTCTCTAGGCACAGCATGGCAGATACTGCACCGCAGGGCAAGTTGTTTCTTAATCCCATACATACCATGCATGTGCAGTGGCGTAACACGCGCAGGGTTACAAACAGCGGGTGCATTTCAGGGCGAGCAGGTGCAGGCGTTAGGACATGGAACAGCCGCCAGAGGCGCCAGCGATTAAGGGGAGAAGCGGTAATTCGGTGGGTGCATTTGGAGACAGGCAGGTGCAAGCGTGCAAACATGGAGCAGGTGCCGGAGAGACAGGAGGCGGAGATGATAAGGGAAAGAGAACAAGTGCAGGAGGTGCCCCCGAAACGCCGGCTTAATAGGGGGGCAACTGAGGACCCTTAATGAGGAGGCGGATATAAAGGGGTGTGCGGAGAACACGGGGTTGAGTTTGTTGGAGCTGAATGGTTGAAAAGCCGGAGAAAACAAGCCTGGGACCTCACCCTCCACACCTCGTCCTGCCCAGCGGTGTTGGCTGATCCCCCGCTGGGGCAGCACGGACGAGGTTGGAGGTGTGAGAGAAGGCCGACAGGCTAGCGGAGTTTTCAGTAACAGGCTAGCGGAGTATTCAGTAACAGGCTAGCGGAGTATTAAGTGACTGGCTAGCGGAGTATTAAGTGACAGGCTAGCAGAGTATTAAGTGACAGGCTAGCGGAGTAAGAGAGAGAGTTCGAAGCAAGAGTGTAGTGTAAAGAGTGAGGAGCATCCGTGCGGGATGCGAAGTAATAAAGTGACACAGGAGAAAAGCTGACAGTGTCGGTGTGAATACACCACTACACATGTAACGAGTCGGTGATTATAATTATTTGTTTCGCAATACATGTGCAGTAACATAGAATGGGTCACTATGGCACGTAGCGCTGGTTACTGGTAGAGAGCGGGATCGTGGGTGTAATAGCCCGGTCCACCAGCAGGGAAAGTGAAGTGTGCCCTGGAGCGCGTAGCGCCGGTTGCTGGCAATGAAGGGCATTTAAGGATACAGCAGCCGGTCTGCCAGTAGGGCACGTGATAGGTACGGATGTAGGGTAAAGGTGACAGAGGGGACATGTGGGGCAGAGCCCAGAACCTTCTGGTCGGTTCCAGAAGGGGGCGTGGCCGAGGGCGGAGCCAGGCCACGCTGGGGAGGATAAAAGGGAGGCCCCGACACTGGGTTGGGGCTGCTGCAGTTTGGGAATGGAACCCGTCGTTTTCACAAGTCTTCGTCCCCGTCTTCACCTCCTCATCGGTGTTGGATTAGGCAGTGTGCCGGCTGTCCTGACCCGTATATAGTTATCCCCTATACTGTTGAAAGTGTAGAATAAACGTGTATGCCTCTTACTATTAATGTCTCTGAAGTAACTTACTACGCATGCAATAGAATTGTGTGCAAGTCAACAACACTTTATGAACATAAAGACAAGATACATATGAAGGCTAATGTGACGAACGGAACTATATAAAACTGAATTTTACTCACTTAAAAAATAAGATGTTAAAATCAAATCATGACCCTGAATCGTAACAATTCATCCAAACAGCGAGGGGATGGGTGGCATGAATTGTTAAATGCCAACTACAACAGCAGCCATTTGTGTGACATCACCACAGCACTTGTGCCGAGTCATGTGCACTTTGTGGCCATGTGAAATCTCAAAGTCAGGGGAGAGACCCAAGTGTTATGGGTAAATGCTCCCCACCGTGCCACCTTGCTGTGTCGGACGTCCGGCACTCTCCTCGTTGTTGTGAGCATCGCTCATCTGCCTTTTGTTGTTGCTGAATAGTGGCTGCCTCTAATTACACAGGAGCATCCTTTTTGAGCCTCCTCCACAGAGGCCAATCTTGTCACTGTTGGCAGCAGTCGTCAGTAAGTCCACCAAGCTCCGATCTTGTCATTGCTGGTAGCAGTTGTCAGCAAATCCACCCAGCTCCAGGTTCTCCCTGCCACATCATGTGCCATGCCCATTTAACCCCGTTTAGCTGGCTATACAAAAGCTGCTTAGACACGAGCTGGCTGGGCATATAGGGTACATGCATAATCTCCTGCCAGATAAGCTCACTGGTGGGACTGTCTAGATTTTTACGGATCTGTGAGCTCCTCAAGCAATCCAGTATGGTAAAACCTAGGGTGGATCGCAGACAGGCCAGCTTGAATGTTTCAAACTGGCTCAGGTGTTCCTGCAAAAGTAGCCACGTTTCTCAAGCATAGAGAAGGTAGGGCACTGTTGTTCCCGGGAAGACGCAAAGCTTGGCATGAAGAGGCCGGGGCTGCTTCCACACACCACCAATATGCAATCGATGAAAAATATAAATCTGCTCCACTGATTCGGACCTCCACTGGTAAGAAGCACCCTCGCTACCTAGGTATGAGAACTTCTCCGCCCTCTCTACAGCCACCCAATCACTCATGGAGGAGAGTTGAGAGGATAGTGTGTTTTATGTCCAGGCATGTGGTTTGTTTTGGTGATGCTGATTATAATACCCCACCCTCTTAAACAAACTAAACTATGAACTGTTATTTTTTATGTTACCAGGTAAGGCCCACTGAGCTATATAGCTCTTTTTCAGAAGCGACCTGGCCACAAATGATAGCTCAACGAACTGGCATATCATGATGAAAATTGATAGCAGTCACATACTCTAAACGTGTGTTTCAAAATGTGGAGGAAAAAAACCGGAGGACCCGGAGATAAATCCACACGACCACAAGGAGAACACGCAAACTCTAAACATAGACCAGGCATCAGGGTCGGAATTGAACCCACGTCCTTCTGTATACCAGACAAGGTAGTTAACATTTCGCCACCGTGGCACCCCATGGTGAGCTCCAGTTTCTGGCTGGAGCCGACTCTCCCACCTACTTTTTCGCACAAGTAGAAAGTATCAAATTAGCATCATAGGTAACACATGCACCAGTGGGGAGCCATCCATTGACCGCACAGGGGTATCGATTAGCCTCTTTTTTATCCGCACCGAATGGAAATTTCACTGCCACAGCCAAGGAAAACTTCTCAATCTATGCGGTCAAAAAAATAAATACGTTCAATAGTTTTGGAGCCAAGCGAACAGAGAATGGTTCCGACGCACAGCTTTACCTTGGCCAGTCCATCGCCATTAACACAAACTAATCATTAGCGTCATTGTGGATATAAATTACAAATTGATAAGTAGACAATATGACGCCTCCATGTGTCTGTCTATCCATGCAAAACAAATGTCAAACATTTCTTACACAAACCATCGGCCCAATGGCCATCTGCAAGTGCACAATTTCATCAGCATTGGTTCAGTACAAGCAGTCTGGAACGATTTCAAAATTCAGTGTCTCATCAGCAGTTTCTGGAATCAATGCTGGTTAACTGCCAAATATTTTAGGCAAGGTATTTAATGATTCTAACAAGGGGGTCAGGGACTCAAAAACCTGAAAACTACACAAAGCCATGGCCCCATGATGGCATTTTCGGCCAGGTAAATGAAGCCGAGGTTTAAGTCCTCTTAGAAATTCCCTACACACTGCTGCAGTTAATGGGACACCACGGTGGCGAGATGTTAACTCCCTCGCCTGGTATGCAGGTCGTGGGTTAGATCCCGACCCCAACACCTGCTGTTTATTTGGAGTTTGCATGTCTCTCCCCGTGGTCGCGTGGATTTTTCTCCAGGTCCTCCGCATTTTCCCTCCACATTTAGAAACACGCGTTTAGGGTATTTGGCTGCTACAAATATTCCACGTGATAATCCACTTCGTTTGAGCTATATGTGGCTCGGTCGCTTCTGAAAAAGACCTATATAGTTGGCCTTACCTGGTAAAATAAAAAAAGTTTAGTAGAGAATGTGATGTCCATGCAAGAACACCCCTGCCTGAACACACACTGGGGTACCATAGGCGTTGGGTACGATGGTGAATACCAAAGACCGTGCGTATGAGGGCGAGTACCATAGACCGTGGGTACGAAGGTACCATAAACCTTGCATATGATGGCGAGTAGCATAGACCCTGTACTCTTAGTAACTTGTTGGTCACGCCGGGTTAGTAGCGTAGCACCAATAACCATTACACAACCGCACCCCACAATGCCTGACACACGGATACTTACAGCAGCAATCCTGTCGCCAGCACGCAGGCCAGCTGTGGTGTCGGCCGGGCTGCCCTCCAGGACCTGCTTAATGAAGATGCCGGCATGGAGCGGGTTGACAGGAGCGGCACCACCGCTGGCCTGGTCACGCCCGCCCACGATGCTGATGCCCAGTGGCACCCCTGCAACTCTCCATAGCTCCACCCTGCAGTGCCCAGGCAGCACCAGTGCATACCACACACATCATACCACACACACCAGTGCATACCACACACATCATACCACACACACCAGTGCATACCACACACACCAGTGCATACCACACACATCATACCACACACACCAGTGCATACCACACACACCAGTGCATACCACACACATCATACCACACACACCAGTGCATACCACACACATCATGCACCATATAAACAAAGACAACAGCAGCCGCCATTCGCCACTAAGCGGCGGCGACGTCACCACGGCGCTTGTGCCAGGCTAGGTGCACTCCGAGGACACATTAAATGGTGAAGGCTCGCTTAGAGGCCACGGGACAGACCCAGGTGCCATGAGATGACTGGCAGATCTAATTTCTATACACAGCATATACCACATACACCCCATACATACACACCACACACATTCCATACATATACCGCACACAAATACACCACACACACCATACACAAACTGCACAAAACACACCACATACACCATATTTATACACCACACACCTCACATACACACGCATACATCATATACAAAAAAACACACACAAACGCACATGCCACACACTCCAATCCTGTGCCATGCACATCAGACACCCCCACCCCCTTGTATGCCGTGCCAGCCTCAACAGAAGCTCGCTCACAGCACTTGCCCCAACAGTCTGTTAAATGCCATATGGGGGAATCTTTGTCTTTGTGTGTACGCACATGTGCAAACAGTAGCGTAGAGGCTAGCGCACAGCGCAATGAAACACAGCGAGCCGAGTTCGATTCCTGCTCACGTGTTACACCAGTGACAATAGCCTGAACCGGTCCTGGGACTCTTCATACGTCGACTCAGCCTCGAATGAGTACCTGGTGCGGTGTGTAAACATCGCCACTAGGGAGACAAAGGCGGACGGGCGTGGTTGCTGGCCACCCAGCCCCCTCCTGTTCGCCAACACCGGCCTACCATAGGTCGCTCGCTAAAAAAGCACTTGCGCCCCCCCCCCCCCCCCCATCAACAGACTGTTAGGGCTACACGGGGGACCTTTGTCTTGTGTACGGGCAGACCTGCGTGGGGGGCCCCAGTGTCGGTGTCCGCCCGAGTGCTGCACTTCGCTCTCCTGGCCCTCGCCCTCCTCCCGCTCCGGCAGCTCGCTGCACACGGGCGGCACCACCGCCACAACGACACTCCGTAAACGCTCCCGTTACCCCCCTACGGCGGACGCAAACAACCGGCGGACGGCACCGGGTGCCGTCCCCGAGACGGCACCGCAGATCGCCGTCTCACAGCGGCGGGGGGGGTACTTTGTCATAGTAGTCGTCATCTTTATCGTTCACACACACACACACATACTGCTCTAGATTTTGGCCGACTCAACCGTTGCAAGAGACACTGTTGGAAACGTCATTCATTAATTATGCAATCAACGACGTGGTCAACAATGCATTTAATCGACTCGAATGTTCGTCTGTTAACGTTCTTGCCGGCTGTTTTTTGGTTTTAACGTAGCTTTATCGAAAATATTCATTTTCTGTCACGGACGGATTAGGGTCAAAGAATGTTTAGTATACGCATGTTACAGACGAGAAACCCCACATTCATCAAAAATAGTGGCCGTAAACAAAAGACTAAGAGGTGATGTTTTGGGATATGGCTCTTCTTCACAGCACGTGGGCCAATGCCTGAAATGTCACCTGTCATATATAGATGTTTAAGGCCACAGGGTTGTTGACAAATGTTTTGAGTTTTTTTTGTTACTTGTGCTTGTGCACCACTGTCAACGCAGCAGCACAAATAAGTGAAACATACATACATAACTTCGCCAAATAAAGTTACACATAAAGAAGGGTTATTTAAAAGATACTTCTCTTTGGAATGCAGAGGTCTAATAATTCTAAGTGGCTATAACACGAGAGAAATGCTTGAGCGTTCCTTTAAGTGCGATGAATAATTCTCGAACACAGCTCTCAAAAAAAGCTTGCTTTTCAAAACCCTCCCCCCACTGAGCCACCCCCCCCAAGGGCGACGTTGTTTACCTGTCCCCTCCTTGTTTAACTGACCTTTTTGAATCTGAGAATTTTTTAAAGTAGAACCACAAGAGGATCAAACTCAGGAGGGCAAAGTTGAATTTCAACGCACCGTATCACACAAAAGGCACATTTAGTTTTGAATTTGGAAAAGAACCAGGGCAATGCATTACATTCTACGATTGCAAAACAATGTCGGTAATTACAAAAAAAATAATTCATTCGACGGCAGAGAATACGCGAGGGAAACGAACGTAAACGGAACAAAAATGCAAACAGATAGCATCTTACCTTGAATTGTTGTGTTTCATGATAATTACTGGTTTTGTGTTTCAAAGGATGGACAGGGACACTTCGAATGAAGAGGAGGAACAGAGACAAGCGCGCGAAGCGACACCAACAAGATGCAAGTGGAAGAAAGAAAGAGCCATTGATTCGGGATGCTTTTCTATGTGTTCATTGAGAAGTAAATTAATTAATGCCATGACAACGGCTGCAGCCGAGACGAATAGGAAAATGCTAAATATAATTGTGCAGTTAATGTATGAACAACACAGACACCGGTTAATTCGGCACGTGCGTGTGTTCGAGCTGGCGGTCCAAACCACAACGTATGAAAGGAATCGTAGAGCAAGGCTGGGGAGGGGGGGACGGTAGGAGAGGAATAGCATCCAAAAAGGTAGACATGTAGAATAAACAAAGACCACCACCACCACCACAAACAAAACAAAAAAAACGCTTTAATAAGAAGTAACCACGCAAAATGCAAATAATTCACCCGATAAACGTGGAACGAACGACAATTTATGACGGATAGAAATAGCCGGGCAAGCGCACGATCGTCACACACGCGCACACACACGCGCGCGCGCGCGTGGGTGGGTGCACGCGCACGCACGCACGCACGCAGACGCGCGGGCCGCCCACGCGCGACTCGTCAGCGCTCGAGCCACAGGGCCCCTGAACAATACACGCAACCTTTCGCTCACCATGCAGGGGGGGACACGTGAGCAGACCGTTTCGCTCGCGCGCCCGTAGACACGGCGTTTCCCCTCCCCAAAGTTGACCATTAAATAACAACGACCGGAGCGCACCAACAACAATCGACACGACATCGTCAGCGCCTTTCCAACGTTTATTTATTTTTTTCCCCCCTACAAAAAAATAGAATTAGTATCAAATTAAACGTTAAAAAAATATCTCGGGTTTCCAAACGATCCAGATCCGCGTTTTAACAGTGCGTTCCCCCTTAACCGACAAAAGCCAGCCTGCTCATGCTTGGCTGATGCGTAATAACAGGCGGCAGCAAAAATCCAGTTGCTTTGAAAGCCGGAGAGACAAAAAAAAACGCGTGTTTGTCTGAAGCACCGCGGTGGAAGGGGGTTGAGGAGGGTGGGGACGGCAGGCAAGAGGAGACAACGAATGGACGTTGGCTATAAATTTACAGCCGACCAAAGGCCAGCAGTACATTAGGTTACATTCAGCAGCACTTTGCAAATGTGGTGTCATTGTCATCGGCAGGATGTGGATATCATTGTCATTGTTATCACTGTAGTGCAAAACCAATGTAATCAGCTGTTCCTTTAAGAAAATCTCCATACTATAAGTGATTCAGAACAATGCTTATATTAAAGATTTCAGATCATATATATACACTGTACTTTGTACACTATTGCATTTTTATGCATTTTATGCAAACAATCTCTATGCTCATACAATGCTATTAACCAGATATTAGCAAATAAGATATAAAAAGTTTTAAACGTCATTATATTTAATTTTTCATAAAGCAATCAACATCATAGCACTACTTGTTGTTATGGTTAGAAGGCTTCAAAATTAGCCCAATAAGGCTAGTGAGACAATTATTAACATTAATATATATTCTCTTAAAACGTTTGAGAACCTGCTGCGTTAAAACATACACATTTAAAGACACATAAATCCACATTGCTTACACAAACAACGGGACTTTAAAACGAGTAAATCATCAACTCTGCTTTATGGAATGTAAGAAATAAAAAAACTGGATATGACCATCCGCACAAATGTAACACAGAATTTAAGCTCCACTTTACACTTGCAATTTCTGCAAATTATTGGGCAGCTGCAGGGAATGCATACAAAGTTTGAATGGAATTAATTAAACTACACGATGGTATTTATGTGCTTATTGGTGACTTTTCTGAAACCACTACACTTGGGAACCAGGTTTTAACCACATTTGGCTATGCAAATTTCACCTCTGTGGATATGCAAACTGAATTTGTAATCACCAAAAACATCAATCCACGACTACTTCTGTTTTAAGATGTATACAGAAGGCAAAGGCGCAGCCCTGCAACTGCACTAGAGGGAGCTCGAGAGAAGCATTCAAGACGGCAAATGGTCGATTCTTTTTCCACACTGGCCAGAAGTCTTAGAAAGGGTGGAAATACCAACAATTTACCCCACCAAATGGGCCAGAAGTCTTAGAAAGGGTGGAAATACCAACAATTTACCCCACCAAATGTGACCTATTGCTGAACTGTGCTAATACCCATTTCTCCTGCTGGGTGGACAGAGGCAGGGGTTGGGATTCAAGTAAACTTCCACATTGTTTCAGCTGCGACTCAGGGAGATCAAACCGGCAACACCAAATCCAGTGTGCTCACCGTTACACCATGGTGGCGTCCCACACATACACATTATGGAAATTATTCTCTACTGCTCTTCAAACGAGCACTGCCTCGCCATGCTGAAGAGCTCGAATGCCGAGCAGCACTGAATAGCTGAAGCACCAGATAGGGGCACCCAGAGCAGTCAGGTACTCGGTGAGAGGCGAAATGGAATGATTGGCTCACAGGTGACGACATCACATTTATCCCTCTACTTAAGACAGAAACAGGAGGAGGATTTCTCCACAAATCCGGCAGTTGCCTGATGATGCTAGTTGTAAATACTGGCGAAGCATCGTACTCGAATTGTAAATGTTGGGGGTTTACTCTCCAACACACCGGTGTGCTGTACTAGTAAGGAATTGGCAACGTTTTGTTTACGTGACAAACCTTACTAATTGGCTGTGTCGGGTGGTGGCGGGTTTAACGACACGTTTCAATTTACGCGAGCTAAACCAAAAACCTCCATTATGGAGACAGAATGAGTTTCCTTTACCAGCCGGCACCGACCGGCGTAATGACCCGTGCGCAGAAACGATGACGATATCCTAAAGTTGCTGCTCCGCATTAGAAAATTAGCGTTTCGTGAATTAGTTACGTAAGCAGAACCATGATCAATGTGCACGCTTGCTCAATCGCCGTTAATCAGTGCGTCTCGCGTCACACCGATGGCTTTTCAACCTCTTTACCTGTACTGATATTGCCGCGCGTGCCCGCCTTCCACTTTTCTTGCGGAGCCTGAACTTATAAAAGAGCAACAACACAAGAAACAGAGACTCATTAATCCTCGCGATATTAACTTCCCAATTACACGTTGAGAAATAAGGTGCCAACATTTCAAGCAATTTATTTGAACGGCCATTAATTATGTTTTAATAAAGCAACACCGCCAATCCAATCATTAGCTCTCGGCCTTACCTTCATGCCTTCCTATCAGTGATAGCTTTAAAAAAAATCCAGAGCCAAAAACAATGAGTCATCAGGCACCGCACGCGCACAAGTGTGATAATGTAGACACTAAATGGGTAAATTTAAAATAATCAGGTATTTTACTGCTACTTAAGAGGGAATTCAGATATTGATGTTTTGAGCACACGGCCTTCATTAAGCAACAATTACTAGAGAAGGTTGGTTATCAAAAACAGAGTGGGTCAGGTTAGCTGAAATGTCAAGATGTTCCTTTTATTTCAAGAAAAACATTTAGAACCTTGAGTGAATTTTGATTTAAAGCTTTCGTGACTGAAGGGATTCATATTCTTGGTTCTTTTTATTGTTTCCCTTCTACGTGACTTTACCGAAAGAACCAAGAATATGAACCTTGAGTGAACCTGTTCTTTACTGCTGTCTGTGGTACTGCGGTTAGCAGTGGTGCAAAAGCACAAATTACAAAAACGCAACATATTAGTCTCGAAAAATATTGCCCATAAAGTAATACGTATATATGAAATAGGCAATGTTTCCGGAAATGGTTTTTCCCAATCTCTTTGCTATAATTAAGAGCCATTGCTTGAACTGTACCTGTCATGATTTTTTTTAGGGCAGGGCTACTGACAAGTGTTTTGAGCGTTTCTCTTCTTGAGGGGGGTAAATGCAAGTGACAAGTACATTCCCAAAATTCCATAACCACAATACAATCTGTAATGCTAGCTCATGGGATATGTATTATCTAGAGCCCCCCACTGTAACTGCAATGTTAATTTGTACAACTATGCAAAAACAAACTTGGCACTATTGTCCAAACATCTGGTCTTACAAATCTGAAAGTTTCTCATTGAGAATATTTCACAAACGTGTTCACTTTGCATACATACGAAAAAAATACATTTGATTTGTATTGCATAAAATAACCTAATACTACGCCGCGGTGTAGCGGTACACAATACGGAACATCCCATCACAGACTCCACGGATCACACGACCGCACTTTCACCGCAAGTGGCTCGGTTTTTGTTTCTGTCATGCGGGCCCAAGCTTTGCTGCACAACTGCCACGAGTATTATTATTATTACTAATTACATTTCAATGTCGTACGTAATTCGAATGTTTTAACGTGTCCAATGCCCAATATGCAGATGATCTGGAGCACTGAATGTAAAAAATGAAAGGCGTTTGACTTAGAAACCCAGATTTACGTTTTCAAAAAGGGCTGCTGTCACTTCAAGAGGGCTCAACTTCAAAACGTCTCTCAAGCATATATTATTTTCCTGGATTGATATTTCTACTTAACGTTGCATCTTATAATGTAGTCACGATCATCAAGGGCAGTTGCATGATTTGGGAGTAACATTTCTGACACCAATAGTATTATTATAAAGTGACTTTTTTTTTCTCTTGGACAAATCAAGTCAATCAATTGGGGCTGCAATTCAGACAGAATGTGTCCACCGTTCTCGGTAAGGAATAAATCGTCATAATATAATGCGGTGTCAGACGTACATAAACAAACTGTAGATTTCCATCTATGCTGTGATGTTGGTGGTGGTGCCAACCCATTGATTTGACCCATAAATAAACCGAATTGTCCAAAACTATAATTCCCATCAAAATCGCACCTCATGTCTTATTAGGAAATGACACACATAATGTCAGGTTGCCTACTTTGTGAGACTACCCTTATGGTTAATATAAAAAAAAACACCAAATGTGCCAAAACCACCAATGCTTCTACTTAAACATATAGGATATTTAAATACATAACTACGCATTGATTGCATTTAACGTGGGAATTTTAAATTCTGAGAATCTATATCACTACCATATGACAGCACAAGTGCTCTGATATAACATGCATTATGGAATTTAATTGATCCAATGCCCTTCCAGTTTCATTTATTCATTTATAATGGATACGCATTATACACAGGAAAAGATCAATTTCACATTAGCAAACCTATTTTCAGGATCTGCATCATTTTTCGGAGGCTCAACTATCCACTGAAAATTATCCTCAACATCACTTTAATCAATACGATGCATGATGAACAATCTGGCCCTTGCTCAAAGACATAAGACTTCCCACGTAGGCTGTTACATACTGTTGGGGCAAGTGTCGTTAGTGAACACCTATTGAAGGCCGGCACAGCATACGAGGGGGTAAGTAGCCAGCATCACGCTTAGTCACCTTTGTCTCCCTCGTGCTAATATTTACACGCAGCACCAGGTACTCATTTAAGGCCGAGTCGACCTAGGGGAAGGCCCAAGACAAGTTCAAATATAGGCTACGATGTTATCTGTGGCTGGGAATAAAACTCGGCCCAACGGTTTTATAGTGCAGTGCTTTGGCCACTCCACCCTTGCACATCCACTCCCACTCATGGAATGGTGGCGGGGCAAAGAGTGGCGCGTGCTCCATGCATTTGCCACCATGAAGGGGGATTTAGATTTTATATATAAGGGTCCTGCGGTGGCGAGATGTGAACTGCCTCGCCTGTTATGCAGGAAGCAGTGGGTTCGATCCAGATACCCTGCCGCCTGTATATTTGGAGTTTGCGTGTCTCTCTCCCTGTGGTCTTGTGGATTCTTCTCCGGGTCATCCAGTTTTTCCCTCCACATTTTAGAAACATGCGTTTCGAGTATTGGCTGAAATACATTCCCACGTGATAAGCGACTTAAGTTGAGCTATAATTTGTGGCCAGGTCACTTCAGAAAAAAAGCAATATAGCTCATTGTGGGCCTTACCTGGCAAAATAAAAATAGTTAAAATGTATCGGTCGTGCAATGAAGCAGGCAGGCTGTGTGTGGACATACCTAGCTGCTGGGGGCTCCTGTGGGGAGGGCTGTGGCTGGCACCGGCTGTAAATTTCACAGCACCACTTCCATCCACAGAATCCTCCTAAGAGACAACGCGCGGAGGGAAACACAGCAGCAAAGCTTTGTACGACACCCCTTCCTTTGTCTCGCTGGGGATAATTAGACCAGTGTTGCGACGCGCACAGCAACTCACCGCTAACACGCAGAGACAAAGATGAATATCCACACATTAGCCTACGTGGGATGGGGGAGGAAGAAGTGCTGTCAGTGGGCACGTTTTGAGACTAGAAACACAATGGGATGGTGGGAGCCAGCACTACACATACTGTACACACACAGCCCACAACTGTCGCCTCCCCAGTGCAACTTGTTTGAGGAGCACATCAAATGTATTCAACAATAGATTATTACTTTGATTAATATATTCGTATACTGCATTAACCACACATACTTGTGGTGAACATGCATGCAAACAAACATGCTCTGATTATTATATATGCATTGCTCTCTGGTCTAACACTGGTGAGACTAGGCCATGAAGAAGGATGTCTCTGGTGAAGACCAATCAGTTTCAAAGACAATGCGTGTATTATTATCAGAGCATGTTTGTTTGCATGTTCACCACAAGTACTGTGTGTGGTTAATGCAGACTTTATTCCTTGTAAAACGTTTCTATTTGGCGTTTGAACATCTTAACACCTATCTTATTGCCAGAAAGGGTAAAACCTATTCTTATTTTTCATACTGGCAAAAAGGTCCCATGATATATTCATATACTGTAGCGCATCAACCCGAGTTCAATTCCTGACCACAGCTAACATCAGTGGCGAGTGATATCTGAACCGGTCCTGGTTACCCACTCCGCCGCCAACCTACCCTGACCAGCGTGAAGTTTGGCCAAACAAGCCCCGTGACAGACATTAAAACTAAACAATTTATATTACCAGGTAAGGCCCACTGAGCTATGTTGCTCTTTTTCAGAAGCAACCAGGCCATACATGATAGCTGAACGAAGTGGCTTACCAAGTGGAAATGTACAACGACCAAATACTCCAAAAGCATGCTTTTAGATGTTCCAAACATACAGCAGGCGTCAGGGTAGGGATCGAACCCACGACCTCCTGTATAAAAAGCGAGGTAGTTAACATCTCCCCACTGCTGCGCCCAGGGTCCGGGGTGGTCTAAATCCACGAGTGGGCTGACAAACATTCGTTTTCCTGTGCTCTGTTCCCACCCTTAACACATGTTAACCCTATAGGCTGCAGGAGTAAATTGCTGTTCGTGAACACCTAACAGAGGTCCAAGTTGGCTTCATGGCACACGAGAGCGTGGTATGAGCAGCAAAAAATACCCAATTGCCACCGTCTCCCTGTCTTACTGCTGACGATGTACCATGTAGATATTTAAGGCTAGGGAAGGCCCATGACAGGTATAGATACTACAAGCCACGGATGTTGTGATCTGGAACTAAACCAAGAAATGAAGGCACAGTGTGCTGCTAACTACAGATGCCCAGACACACAGAAGCTTTCACTCGCCCGCTCGATTATATTGATAGACTGCAATAGGTACTCATTGTAGGCCGAGTCACCCTAACAGAGGTCCAAGTTGGCTTCAGATATCAGCCAGCTCTGTGGGTCATAACCAGGAGTTTTACATAGGTCTGTAGGATTGCAATACACTGTGTCAAAATCACTCGGGCTGTGCATGTACGCGAGCCCTGCAATCCGAAAGCGATGGCGGGCGGACCTGCGAGCTCCTCGCTCGGCTCAGGAAGTCGTCCAGGTTGACCTCCTCGTCGCTGGACGTGCCGTCCTCCGTTCGTGCCGACCGCGACCCGGCCGCCGGCCTTCGGCGTCGGGGAGTCCCCGGCGTCCCTTCGTGATTATCGCGCGCATGCACCCGGCGTTCTGCGGACGCACGGAGACACGGAAGCGCGGCGCCTACAGCAAAACCTGCCCTCCAATACAACCGCCGGGCGCGGTGGCGCACACACCTGTTTATCCCCCAGCACCTCGGAGGTAAGGTTGGTGGATTAAGATCGAAAACACTAAATTACTTAAATACTCGATTGGGATCACACAGTCGAAATCGGAAAATTTGTTCCTATTGCAGGAGCAATCCGATGCGCTATGAAGCTCTTTTTCACAGATGCGGGGGCGGCTGAGCAAGTTGCGAAGTAATCGTCGTCGTCGACTGGCAGACGAATGCCCACGTGCAGGCTGACGCCGAGTCACCGTGTGCCGCACCCGCACCACGCTGCCATCAGGGGGTTTCCCTACTCTTTGGTTCTATTCGGTAAAGTCACGTAGGTAAAAAATAAAATAACAAAAAAAATTACCTACGTAATTTACCGAATAGAACCAAAGAGTATGGATCCTTGCAGTCACGAAAGCTTCAAATCTAGGGGGTTTCCCCCCCCCCCAACAGCAAAAAAAATTACGCTCAGAGACCTTTCTCGAGGCCGTTTCATACCGGATCATCTTTACCAGAGTTATAGTGCCCCTCCGGTATGGAATTACAAATGGACAGATGGACACAGCGAACACAAAAATACTCTCAACTTTAGTTGCGAAGCATTATACATATTTTTAGGAAATCCTTGCAAAGGCCGCCACTAAGAACCTGCAAACTGGGGGATGAGGCTCTGCGTTCTGTCGTAGATCGCCGGTTCCATGGAGTCGTCGTCGTCGTCGACGGGCATCTCCACCTCGGCCCCGCCCACTTCCTGCCCCGGTCCCATCACCAACCCCGCCGATTGGTTGCCGCCGGCCCCGACGGGCGAGGCCGCGCCGCCGCCGCTGGCCTGCGTCGTGACCCTGGCGACCACCCCGTAGGCGGTCCAGGTGAGGAGGGGCTCGTTCTTGCGAAGGCGCGGCTCGTCCGCCGATAGTTCCACTGGCTGCACAAAAGACAAAGATCGACCATATAGCCTTCACAGACTTTTGGGACAAGTGCTGTGAGCGAGTAGCACCTATGAAGGCCGGCACGGTATCCAAGGTGGGGGGTGGCCAGCACCACGCCCGACTGCGTTTGAGGCTGAGCCGAGCTAGGGGAGACCCAGGACTGGTTCAAATAACCATCACTGGTGATGATAGCTGTGAGTGGGAATCGAACTTGGATCACCGCGTTCGTAGCGCAGCGCGGTAACCGCTATACTACAACTCCTCAATGTGTACACGCACAAAGACAAAGATCCCCTGTATAGCCTGAACAGACTGTTGGGGCAAGTGCTGTTAGCGAGCACCTATGAAGGCCGGAATGGTACACATACATTTGAGGATTTCCAAATGTTTGTCGGGAACGATCTGGAATTGCCATGGTTGCCAGGATAATATTTGATCACCATCTATGTAAATAAATACCTTAATCTGTAGGTCTCAAAAACCTCGGAGGTACATCCCGACGAGTTAGAAATTTGGTACATAGGTAGCTTTTAGGACACAAACAACACGAAAAATCTAAAAATCCGAGAAATTGTATTTTAAGGTCCCCAAATCTCGATATTAAGTGCCCCATAAAAATGTTTGCGTGCGTCATTCAGAAACCATTCAAAATATAAGATTGCGTTTTTTTTAGTTTTATAGAACGTTAAACAGCAAATAAAATTCACGTTAAAATCATTGGTTCCATCTTTTATTGTTTTGAGATATTTCGAATTCAAGCGGTTTTGAACAAAAAAATACACAATGTTACGATTTTCAAATCTGAATTTGAAAACAGTAAACGACAGGAGCTTTCCCTCATAGAGTATTAAGTTCATTAATTTTGGTTCTTACTAATAAAAAACAATCGATAAATTGAGCGGTTTCCGATGGGTACGTCTTTATGTATGAGAAGTTGAATCAAGTCACCAAAAATTTTAGTTTTTTGTGGAAAAATACACATTTTTGGAGTAGTAATTAGTGTTTGATCGTAGATACAAAATTGTAAAAAAATCATATATTTATTGAAAACTTTAGCCTGGCGAAGGACAGGCTTCATGAACTAGTGAGGCATAAATAAAAAAAATCAAGGTACGGCGATTATTGCGAAATCAGTTTCCCAAAATATCATCCTTGTATTTCACAATTGTATTGTTTTTGTGTTCCGCTGTACTTCCAGTACATATAACAATCACTTACTAGTTTTTTTTATTTATTGCCATTTTACAATCTATAATGGTTATGAATACACATACTGGCAGTTCAGTTTAGATATCACTCGCCAATGGTGTAAGCCATGGCTGGAAATCGAGCATGGTCACCAACTTCACAGCACAAGTGCACCAACAACTACGCCACCACTCCACCCCACTCCATATGTGCATATGTTGTATTTCTTCAGATATGGCCGTTTCCTCCCGAAGGCAAGAATACTCAATATTAAATTGGCCAGATAAGACCCTCACACATCTAAAACCTTCTTGAAAATTAATCTTGAAAGTAATATTTTTTTTCGAAATAATGGCCATATTAATCATAAGTATTTAATTTGATAACATCTGACAATGGTAGTTGACAAATTATCCACCCTGTGTCTGGAAGCCTGAAGCAAAATATTGTAAGACCGGCGTGCAAATCATGGCCGAAGAGCTCAAAAAAATATTTTTAGTTCAAGCAAAAGAAGGTTATTCATTGACGTAACTATTTTACGGTAAATAAATACGCGAAAGTGTCGCAAAAATAAACCCATCACATGCAGTAGCCAGCAGATGGCTCCGCTAACATGCCACAAGTTGGCAGGCATTTATAATTTCAAATGTTTTACCAATGCGCCGTTGCACTCAACGATGCCAGCCTGAAACCGAAGATTTTGCTCTTGTCCGAGATGCTGTGAATCAAGGGCTTTGTCACACGTGCGGATGGGCAACTTTTGCAAGCGCACGTTCGGACGTAGTACAGGATTTGGCTGAAAAGTTCGCAAGCCACTCGGGCGACATCACACGAAGGAACCAATTCCTCGTCTTCCGCAAATTCAATCGGAGATGTAACTGGTAGAGACTTGATATCAATGACATGTGATTTAACGCAGCACAGCAATCGCTTGCCATGGATTTGGTTTAGTGACGCTTGCTCATCTGCAATACCCTCGGCTCTAATTCAGGCCACGAATGTCTGGATTCCCAGAAGATTTAAGCGAGCTTATAACTCGTAAGCCACATGGGTTCAAGTGTCCTGGAGTATTACAAAGTATGTATGTAGAACTTATTTCGCACCGTACATAGCCACCCGTGCAAATCGGAGCTGTCACACTGCTTGAAATGAACCATGATACCTCGGCAGCTAGACACATGGAGAGGTGCATGTTTTACATGACACTGAAAAGAGGAGCACGTGGATTAGAGAGCAAGTAGAAGATAGAGAGAACGTCTTTACTGTTAAAAAAGTGGACTTGGGCAGGACATGATGCTAGAAGGGATGAAGGTGTTTGGTCGAGACTAACAGCCGAGAGGACGCCAGCCTCAGAGATGGAGCGATAATATCGGCTCGTGGCACAGATGCCAGATGGACTGTTGCATAAAAGGACCGTCAGAGATACTAACAGGTTGGGGAGGCCTTTAAATCAGGAGTGAATTGAGCATGGCTGAAGATGATGAATTAAATACATGCTACAATGGGTCACTCCTTATGTGATACATTTTAACATATGCATTTCCTGTATGAATCTGAAGACCCATTTCGTTAATTTGGCCATTCTTACAATCGTATATGTAAAGGCCAAATATTCCTATTTATTTTCATCATCCATATGTTACACTTCATAGTTGAAGTCCTCTTCGGATTTTCAACTGATATGTCAAGATTAATACGGTGATGGATTAGCTCGATTGTAAATTGCATTTTTGCATTGTTACCTTTCATTTTAAAAAACTAATTTATTTTTTAATTAACGAATGCGCTCCGAGATCCTGTGCCAGAGGGAAGATCCAATATGATGGTAACCTTTATAAGTCAATTACTGCTGATGACGACATATAAAATTGATGTAAAAAGGTAAAAGGGTAAAGGCGCAGCACTGCAACTGCTTGCTCACGCTACTGCTGGCGGATTGGCCACCGCTACAGGGAGCTCTCTAGACAGCCCCTCTTAGTCGGTATTCATGGCCTACTCTTCCATACTTGGCCACACGCTTTGAAAAAAAAAACACATGAGGACCCACGGTTTATCCCAAAACAAGTGACCTGCCGATTGAACGATTGCGGTGAACAGAAATAAACTGGAGGGTGAACAGAGATTGGGGGGGGGGGGGGCGGTATTTAAGAATCAGAATATTTATTTATACTGCAGGAGGAATCCAATGAACTATAAAGCTCTTTTCCACAGATGTCCAGACGGGGTGGCTTAGAACGTTACAACAACAAACAATAGAAAAACTGCATCGGAGTGCAAAGTATAGGAAGGGTAGAGGGAAGCAACTTGCCTTCCTGTTTTAACTGCTGCGCTGGGAGACCAAATCGAAGCTGTGACCTCTGGATTTCAAGTACAGTGTGCAGACCGTTGCAACGTTGGCAGCATCACCCCCGTGCATGTATTTATGTATTCGGGGTGAAATGTACAGAGGGGCAAACGAGGAGTACCGGTGGGGGTGTGGCAGCAGCATCAGCTCCCCGAGTTTCCACCACGGTCGTCTCCTGTTCATCCACGAGCACCTCGGGCCCCAGTGGCTCAGGCTTCATCGCACACGACACACAACGACGAGAAGACATCGCCCCATTGAGTCTGGTAAGACCGTTGGCGCCAGCACTGTTAGCGAGCACCTGTTACGCACAAGCACACCAGCGTTACGTAGGTTGCGGACCACTTGCACGACCTCACCTGTTGATAACGCACCGTACCAGGTGTACATGTTCCGCCCCCTGTCAATCCACTGCTGGATGAGGGTCTACCTTGCATCGTGTGGGTCGTGGGGGTTATTTGACCATATCTCACCGCGCTGGTCAATGCTGTTCGGTAACAGTGGAGATACTGCTCACCAATGATTATCAGTCACAGCCAAGAATGAAACGGGAGTCGATTCCTGGCTGTGCATGGATGTGGGAACATATAGGAAAAGTACAACAACAGATTTTGATTCATTGCCCTCTGCCACACATCACACAACACCTATAACACCTTATATGGATGGTGGTCGCCCATCCAAACTCTATCCAGGCTCAAGCCTGAATAGCTTCCAAATTCTAGTCGCATTGGTCACAGGAATTTAAAATGCATAGCGGCGAAGCGCAAATTGGATTCATAGCTCGTTTAACGTGACGTGTGCGACTCAAGATCGAAGCAGGTCTGCCGGAATATACTACGATACTACTATTTTATTTTACGAGGTAAGGCCCACAGAGCTACACTTCTCTTTTTCAGAAGTGACCTGGCAACAATGTAAAACTCAAAAGAAGTGGCTCATCAGGTGGAAATGTATAGCAGCCAAAAACTCTTAAACGCATGTTGCTAAATGTGAGGGAAAAAAAACGAAAAATCCACGCGACCAATGGGAGGAACATGCAAACTCCAAATATATAGGCATCAAAGAGGGAATTGAATTGACGACCTCCTGTATCCCCGGCGAGGTAGTTAACATCTCGTCAGCGTGGCGCCTAGCGGACGTGTGTGCTAATCGCTCAGCGCCCACTTATAAACGAGTCACGGCTTTGCCCCCTCCCCTCCCAACGTAAAACACACGCAGAGTGACACCTATTCAATGCGTTAATTATGGGCAATATGTTATTCACAGTGGAATACGTCGTTTACTTGCAGCCCTGGGTGGAATTATCTCCACGTTCATCAACCCGAAGGTCAAATACGAGGCCGTGAATCATAATATAAATAATAAAGCTGTGGCTCACGTCTATGTGGCTCACAATTCCCCGCTAAAGCAATGAAGGGTTCATCTTAGAATTCCCTGTCCACTGCCATTTCAAATATCCGACAAAGTCAATATACGATTACTATACATGATTCACGTGGCAGTCCATTCAGCTGAATGTTAATGGAAAGCAGATTAGTTCCATTATTTTGGATGCCATTTCGGTTCAGTGGATATTAAAAATATTTTGTGCGGAAGACTACACTTTACAACCCCAGCATGTCTGTACAATGTTGCGTGAAGTGTCATTTACCATACGTAGAGTTCAGTATATTAATTACTTATAATCATTTACAGCCCTTTTGTAAAACCACTGCTGGGTTGAAGACCTCCCCAGATCTAGTCTGTCATGGGGGTTGTTTGGCCACACTTGACCACGCTCGTCAGCACGCGTGAGTGAAGGAGGGTGGGGGGGGGTGGCCCCACGACTGGTTCAAATATCACTCGCCATGGCCAGGAATCAGACTCACGTTGACAAGCTCATCGTATAGTGTGCCAAGTGCGGTCCCTCTACTCCACTGCTCTAATTTAACAAACAAAATATATTTTACAATCTCTAGGACATTGGGGAAGTCCCACTGATGGTGGTTGGCTCAATAAATAAATGTCTTCTTTCATCATCAAATAAACCGGTGTCATGAACACAGCCTCATAAACAGAAACAAATAAATTTCGATTTAAAGCTTTCGTGACTGCAGTGATTCATATTATTGGTTCTTTTGGTAAAGTCAAGTAGAAGGGAAATAATACAATCATAAAAAATCAAACAATAAAATTATCATGACGTTTCAATTGCAACACAAGCAATCATCATCAGGTGCTGTGGTTTTCACACCTGATGATGGTTGCTTGTGTTGCAATCGAAACGTCGTGAGAATTTTATTGTTTTATTTTTATTATTTCATTATTTCCCTTCTACGTGACTTTATCGAAATAACCAAGAATAGAAACAAATAAGCCAAATGTTGAAGACGGTAACCCATCTTCAGAGCAAGAGATGGCAGCTCGTTTGCCTGTCTTACAGATGGAGAATGCACCTCACAGAGCGATGCATCGTTGGCATTGAAACGACCCAAGGATTTTGATAGAGTCGATACGGACAAATTTACATTCACACATGAACAGTTTGAGACTATACTGAATGATAAAAAAAGGATTTACCCTTTTGTGGCATAAATACAGGTGTTAAGAAGTGTGCGACTATGTCCACCAATTAGGTGGAACGATGAAAACCACTCGAATGCAAGGAGTTAAACAAATTGTGGCACCGTAGGTCTGTGAGAGATGGCAATGGGCTTGAATAGGCATCAATCTATCATTTTATAGAGCAAGCAGATGAGTAGCAAAGCCTGGCACACGATGGCTTTTCATGTGATGGCACTGAACATGTTGCAATGGCTCCACTGGCTCTGAGAGCGGATGGATAGGGTTAGGGTATTTAATTGGTGAATTCAAAAGTCTGTGATTTCCAGCTGTATGACAGTTCTGAATGCGCTCTTTGCAGGCAAGGCCAGAGCTTGAAAACACTAATTGCGCCTGGTGGAACGAGTTAATAAATATATAACTATAAATCAATAGTCCTGGCTAGAGGAAATTGATTGCATCATTTGTCAGGCCAAGGTGGTCTTAACGTGCTATATTAGATCAGTGGCAACTTATTTAGTTTTGTCCAGAAGAATGTAAATTGTATTACTGCTATTATTATTATATTCTCTAACTGTTTTAGTGCTTTTTCTCCCAGATACATTACAAACGTTCAATCAGCATCAGGAGAAATTTCCATTCGGGATTCTCGGAGCGAGCAGCGTACCGCCTACTCAGAAAAATGCCCCGGAAGAAGACATCGCAGAGTTTACTTCATCTTAAGTCACTCCAATATAGTCGTTTACCCACGCTTGGTATGCAAGAGTTAGGGGGTTCGATCCCGACCCCAATGCCTGTTATATTTGGAGTTTGCATTTTCTCCCCGTGGTTGCGTGGATATTTTTATCTGGGTCCTCCCGGTTTTTCCCTCCATATTTAGAAACATGCGTTTAATTTTGCTGCCATAAATGTTCAAATGATAATCAACTTTGTTGAGCTATCATGTGGCCAGGTCACTTATGAAAAATAAGTGAATACCTCAGTGGGCTTTGTCTCGTAGGACGGGGATGGTTTAGTTGTATTTGTATGTGTTTGGGTGATGTGTAAACCTTTCCTGTACTTTGCACTACTGTCATGTTGTTGTGTTGTTTGTTGCTGTAACGTTCTTACCCACCCCAACTGGACATCTGTGAAAAAAAAGCTTTATGGCTCATCTGATTCCTCCAGTAAACCTACTATAATCACCCAGGAATGTCCTTATCGGTCGTAACGTCATTCCACATCGACCAGCCCACCTCATTAATAATCATGAGCAGGTCATGTCCTCCACAGACGTTTTTTGTAGTTGGCCACCAGGTTTGCACACATCTCAGGAGGGATTTTGTCCCACTCCTCTTTGCAGATCTTCTCCAAGTTATTAAGGTTTCGAGGCTGACGTTTGGCAACTCGAACTTTCAGCTCCCTCCACAGATTTTCTATGGGATTAAGGTCTGGAGACTGGCTATGCCACTCCAGGACCCTAATGTGCTTCTTCTTGAGCCACTCCTTTGTTGCCTTGGCCGTGTGTTTTTGGTCATTGTCATGCTGGAATACCCATCCACGACCCATTTGCAATGCCCTGGCTGAGGGAAGGAGGTTCTCACCCAAGATTTGACGGTACATGGCCCCGTCCATCGTCCCTTTGATGCGGTGAAGTTGTCCTGTCCCCTTAGCAGAAAAACACCCCCAAAGCATGTTTCCACCTCCATGTTGGACGGTGGGGATGGTGTTCTTGGGGTCATAGGCAGCATTCCTCCTCCTCCAAACACGGCGAGTTGAGTTGATGCCAAAGAGCTCCATTTTGGTCTCATCTAACCACAACACTTTCACCCAGTTGTCCTCTGAATCATTCAGCTGTTCATTGGCAAACTTCAGACGGGCATGTGTATGTGCTTTCTTGAGCAGGGGGACCTTGCAGGCGCTGCAGGATTTCAGTCCTTCATGGCGTAGTGTGTTACCAATTGTTTTCTTGGTGACTATGGTCCCAGCTGCCTTGAGATCATTGACAAGATCCTCCCGTGTAGTTCTGGGCTGATTCCTCACCGTTCTCATGATCATTGCAACTCCACGAGGTGAGATCTTGCATGGAGCCCCAGGCCGAGGGAGATTGACAGGTCTTTTGTTTCTCACATTTGCGAATAATCGCACCAACTGTTGTCACCTTCTCACCAAGCTGCTTGGCAATGGTCTTGTAGCCCATTCCAGCCTTGTGTAGGTCTACAATCTTGTCCCTGACATCCTTGGAGAGCTCTTTG